GTTACTGTGAGCAGCAGATGAGACAGTGATGATGATGAGTGAAGTGAGATCCTCATCTCACCTCAGAGCTTCATGTTCCTCACACAGAGAGGTTTTAGAGGAGGGACCCCTCCTCTGTGTCCTACACTGATCCATAGCAGAGCGCCCCCTGCTGGAAGAGCTGCACTCTGTCACAACAACAACACTGATGGAGTTCAGCTGCTGAAGTCACATCCACTCAAAGATCTTCAGCTGTGAGAAACAAACAGATGAAGCTGCTGATTCACTTCATCATCATCACCTCACTGTCAGTCTACAAACATCACATCTACTGGTTCACTGCTAACATGATCTAATCTTCTGTTCTCTCTTATAGGAGATGGTATATTACTGTCAGATGTTCTGTACTTGTTAGACTGCTTATCCAGCTGAAGTACTAAACTAGTTCTAGTTCTGTGTGTATTCACTGCACAGTCTGTAACTAGGACATGAATCACTCTTTTCATTTCTGTAATCATCTCATTCTCCTTATTTGATGAATTCTAATGTTTTAATTAAACTTTTTTCTCTCCTTGTTTGCTGAAACGTTTGAATTTATGCTCCAGCATCAATAAAGTTTTATCTTATCAGAGGAGGCTTTACTGCAGGACTTTGAATCATAAAATGGATTAAAAAAACGTTGAACACGCCCAACAATCATTTATTAACCAAGTATGACTTTACAGTTCATAACAATTAAACAACAAAAATATTTTCCCCTTATTCCATGAATTTTAATGTCACTGAAATTATTTTTATCATATAATATACAAGTATACTGTACAAAGCAGGAACACCAGCCTGCTGGAAAGTTGAAGTCAAATATTTATTTTATTCACTGTTTCATTGCTTTGTCTGTAAGGTGACCTCGAGTGACATGAAAGGAGCCCAAAAATAAAATGCATTATTATTATTATTATTATTATTATTATTATTATTATTATTTTAAGCTGTTTGAGAGAGTTATTAAAACTTCTTCTTATGAATTAATTCAGAACGAGTTTCACGGTAAACAAACATCATTAAGAAAATGATGTTGAGAACAACACTCACACTGATGAGTTTTAATTAGAATATTAAATCACAGAAGATAAAGTGATTATCTCAATGAAAGAACTCTGAATTTTCCAGAGCGGCTCGTCTTCAATTGTGTTAGCACAGTTAGCATGGTTAGCATAGCCTGCATCGTGACTGAGTCACTGATCATTGTGTTTCCTTCACTTCTACTGTAGTCAGAGCAGCTAATGATCCCGGTGGCTAACTGTTAGCTTACAGCTCTTTTACACTCAAATTAAATGAGAGTCTTTCAAACATTTAAAAAAGTGTCTCTTACCTTGAACACGGAGAACAGATCTGCGTCACAACAGGACTAAGTCAAAGTCAAGTCTCCTGTCACCAGGAAATACCAAAGTCTAATAATCACCATAGCAACAGGGAATCAAAGGTCACAGCTTTATTATTTTATTTATTGTGTCAGATGATTTACAAAGATAGATCCTTTATTACTTTGATATCAGATATATTGTGTGTATAGAAGTTTAAAGTGTTTGAGGCAGTCTGTTGTCCTGCAGTGGTCTGTAAAAAAAGGAAGAGCTGCTGGGCCCTCCATACCAGGAACCAGGGCTGTGTCTGAAATCACTCACTCATTCCCTACTCACTATATAGTGAATTAGATGTAGTGACTATATAATGCACTCACTCAGCTAAATAAAAAAAACATTTTGGACACTACTCGCTCACTCGCCGGCCGCTGACAGTGACGTAATCACTGTCGCACAACTAAGACGTCGCTCATGGACGGCTGGGGATTTACAGTCATCAACACTGTAAACAGCATGGATTTCAGTGATAACTAATATTATACTTAGCATATTTTTCCACATTAATCAAATATAATAAATAAATGTATTACACGTTATTTTCAATAAATAAATACCAACCATATATTCGCGCCACAACTTATTGGAGTGTCTCGTGCCTGACTTTATCTTTACCGTTACTCCGTTTCAAAACTGTGAAAACCTTTATCACTTAACGGCCTTTATAAAGCTACAGATTGACTCTGAAAGATGCCACCTAATATCAATATTTCTGTTTTTCTTTTGACTCTTATTCAACTTATTTTATTCAAGAAGAATCAGAATAACTAGAGAAAGACAGAGAGGACTGAGACGTGCCGCCGTTGCTATACTAGCAAGACGTAGCCAAACTGTAAGTTAAAAGATGATATTAGTCCTTTGCATTTATATTAGATAATGTGGAACTACAGTATGTAAAGTTGTAGTGTCAGACTACACCCCTCCTGGGGACACTTAGACATGTCACAGTATTGTAGCCACATAAATCTTCTACTGAGTCATTTTGACATACCTTTTGATCACATTACATTTAAAAACATCATATCATGAGAATCAATATCTTTATTTACAGTTCAGACATCAATCTCAGTACTGCAGAGTGAACCGCCATGTTCCACATCTGGCCATGTATTTTGATGGCCAAAGTGACCTCCGTCCTGACTTCTGCCTCTCCAGACCCACCATACTCCACCTTATCGACATCCTGCGCTCACCATCTGACCACGGCTGGGGATTCGATCTGGAGATTCTTGTTTTTTGTTTTGGTTGGTAAGCGCCACGTCTTACCGCGTGGTTTCTCGAGCCTTTGACATTCCACGCTCAACTGTACATGACATTGTACACAGGGTATCAAAGAAAGTAATCGGGCTAAAGAACAGGGTCATCTACTTGCCACCCCAAGATGACCTTGAAAGAATTGGTGCAGGCTTTGAAAACCTGGCAGGATCCGTGGCTTTCAGTCGTGTTGTTGGCAGCATCGATGGCTGCCACATCAGAATTAAGCCTCCAAGTGATGACGCTCAGTGCTATTTTAACAGACAATTGTTTTACTCAGTGCAGATGCAGGCTGTGTGTGACCACCAGTGTCAAGTTTTAGACATATTTATTGGGTATCCAGGGTCAGTACATGACTCAGGTTTTAAAAAATAGCCCACTCTTTGCACAGAGCCTGTTCCCACCTGAAGACTACTGTATTTTGGGTGATATCCCTGTGTGTCACGGCCAGTCACCCTAATAACACCATACAGGGAGCCTGTGAGAGGTGCAGTGGCAGCTCGATTTAACAGGCACCATTCAAAGGCCCGTTCAGCTATTGTCAGGGTTCGAGAAAAACTAAGAGGAGGACCCAGATGCAGATCTAACAAAAAAATATTTATTTAAACAAAAAGGCCAAAGACAAACACACAACTTACTACAGTAGAAAACTAGCCACGAGGAAACCACAAGTAACACTAGAGCACGAGGAAAACAGACCTCTACTGACACTGATAACTGACATACAAACAACAATGAACTGACACAGAAGGGAAGAAACACAGAGACTAAATAGACATGGGGTAATCAAACACAGGTGAGTCTAATAACACAGGTGAAGACAATCAAGGCAGGGAGAAACACTGAGGACAATACAAAATAAATCATGTTGTGCCATCCTCCACAATTTCTGCCTCAGGGATGGCGACACAACTGAGCCAGTTGAAGAGGCACTGAGGCCGGATGATGGAGACGGCCAGCTTCAGCCTGACTCGCAGTGTGGGGAGCAGCTGCGTGGACGCATGGCTGCTGCTCTTTCAGCCCCGATTGAAAATCCGCCAGCTCTGGATGATCATGACTACAATTAAGAAAAAAAAATACAGCATTATTTTTGTTAAGACTTGAATTCATGTAAATAGTTCAATATTCATATAAGTGTTAATAGTTGTAAATATGTAGTTATTAGTAGTTATCAGTTATTTATAAAATCTTCTTCCTTCTTTCTTAAAAATTAGCCGAGATGTTGTATCAGTTACTTTAAAATCAGTTCTTTCAAGTTTCAATGTTGTGATGTTGATGGTAAAAACTGATTCATAAAACATTTATTTTAATGTGCAGATTTTAATTGTATCACATTTTTTCTATAATCTTTTCCATCAAACTCAACAACCTTTCCTCCCTGGCCTCATCTCTTCTAACTCTCTCTTCCGCCCTTTCTTCTGCCCTCTCCAAAAAGTTAAGGATGTTGTCACCACCACCACATCTCTGCCTCCTCTGACCCTCTCCCTGGCTCTCTCTCAGTGTCAGATGGCACTGAATCAGGGGATTCTGGCTGGGACATGGAAGAGTTCTCTCCCCATGCTGAGGCAATGAGGCATGGAGGCCTTATGGATGGCCTCCCACCTATTGCCTCATCCATGAGGGAGAACCACTTCCATGTCCCAGCAGTGGCCTCCCCTGATTCAGTGCCACTCCCTGTGAGCTCCTGCACACAATCACATACATATCAACTATTAGCTATGCACAATTATACATGTTAAAGTCAATTTCAGATTCCGAATACAACATAGGAAGATACTAAAGGAGAACATGAAGTGCCATTTTTAATCTAAACTTTAATTATCCAGGGCTACAGTTAAATACAACAATACAAACCTTGTACGTTTTCTTCAAGTTCTCCCACTTTTTAGCCGCCCGAGCAGGACTGACTCAATCAGACAGCAGCATGTCTTTCAGCAAAGTTCTTCAAAATGTAAAAAAAAAAACCATACAAATATATTACACAATAGCCTACAAAGTGTCTCAAAATCATGAATAACTATAGCCTACTAGAAAGCTATAAGTCAAGAACATTTTACCTCCAATATAATGACACATCACAATAAGAAAGCTATTAATAATAATGAAATGTCTCACTCCCATCCTGCAGCAGCAGCAAACCGCCTCCCGCTGAAGGGGTGGTCCTTCTCCCTCCTCAGCCGGATCAGCTGGGCTACATCGTCATCAGTCCCTGAACAGAATAAGATCAATTTTGCTCCGGTACTTGAGTGAAATGCCAATGCAATTTACCGCTGACGCTAGTTAGCAATGCTAACATGCTACTAATGGTGGCTAACAGATAGCTAAAGGCTAATGCTAGCTAGCTGGGTTTTTACCGTAGAGGCGTAATTATAGTACCTGTGATATACAAGTTATAACGTGTCTCATAATCCTGAAAAGCGGAAATCCAAAGTGAAACAATCGTTGAACATTTTAAAAGTCAGCTCCCGCTGCACGCTTTCGTGGTCCTGTCTGTCGGCCATTTCTTCTGTTTGAACCGCAATGCATGATGGTATATATTGCTCGCATAGTGACCATCGCTCATACACTACTTTTCAAAATGCATTGTGGGATACATTGAGTGGACTATATAGGGTATGACCATGCTCACTCAGAATTTGGACAGCACTACAAAATGGCGTGTCCACTACATAGTGGATAGGGAGTGATTTCAGACACAGCCCAGGTGTTCAGGATCCAGGTGTTCAGGATCCAGGTGTTCATGATCCAGGTGTTCAGGAACCAGGTGTTCAGGATCCAGGTGTTCAGGATCCAGGTGTTCAGGAACTAGGTGTTCAGGATCCAGGTGTTCAGGATCCAGGTGTTCAGGATCCAGGTGTTCAGGAACCAGGTGTTCAGGATCCAGGTGTTCAGGATCCAGGTGTTCAGGATCCAGGTGTTCAGGAACCAGGTGTTCAGGATCCAGGTGTCAGGATCCAGGTGTTCAGGATCCAGGTGTTCAGGATCCAGGTGTTCAGGATCCAGGTGTTCAGGATCCAGGTGTTCAGGATCCAGGTGTTCAGGATCCAGGTGTTCAGGATCCAGGTGTTCAGGATCCAGGTGTTCAGGATCCAGGCGTTCAGGATCCAGGTGTTCAGGATCCAGGTGTTCAGGATCCAGGTGTTCAGGATCCAGGTGTTCAGGATCCAGGTGTTCAGGATCCAGGTGTTCAGGATCCAGGTCAGGTCTTCAGATTCATGAACTCCAAGTTACTAAAAACTGGTGACCTGATTCAAAGGATGATGATGATGAAGTATCATTAGCTGTTGTTTATCATTGAATAATAATATATTCATAAAGCTCCAGATTAAAAAAGTGTTAGCTCATGACTCCTTCCATAAAGAAGAGGTGTAGACTGTACTCTGTGTAATATTATCATCATCTTACTGACATTAATGAAGCATCTTTATTTCACTTCATACTACTTCTCTTTCCTGTCTGAACTTGTTGGATGTCTTTTCTTTTGAAATGTCTGTTTAACTTTAGCTCTGATAAAAACACCTTTGTTCCCTGTAAACTGAGTATTTGATACGAGACAATGAGAATGAAGTCGACCTCGTACCTGGTTTGAAGTGGTTCTGTAATCATGTGATCAGTCAGCATGGCGGCAAAATAAATCTTCCATCGTCATCGGAAACGACTTCTGAAAACGAATCATTCAATGTGGACGTGACGTTCCTTCACACTCTGCAGGTGAACATTTGACCAATCAGATGAAGCCTCAGCTTGTTGTACATTTAGTGCTGAGAGCGAGGTTAGCTAACACGATGGCTGAGGCAGAGAGAAGAGCGAGGACGATGATGATGATGATGATGATGAAGACATGGTGCTGAAAGAGAACAGCGTACCAAAGAGTGTTCAGGCTGCAGCTTTCAGCCTCTCTATCAGGATGAATTGCTGCAGCATGCGTGCATGTGGTGGCGCTGTGTACACCTCCATAGCTCATCAGTGATTTCTCTGTGAAGATTCTCTTTCTCCTCTGCTGCTCATCGTTTGACTCGTTCCTTTGATTCACATAGTTTCAATATGAATATATTCTGTGTGCTACCACTACAGGGCACTATAACCATGATATTTATCCTGATGTAAGACAGGAAGCTGCTTCTTCTAGACCATGCCTCCTGATGACATCACTTCCTGTGCTGTGATCTGAAAGTATGAGCTATGAGACAGAAATAAGTCCTACCTGTGTTCTAAGTGAGAGCACACTGAGACGGTCACAAAGAGCGTCCACACAGCACTGCTGCTGATTGGACTGATTTCAGATGGAGTAGAGACGACGTGGTACGTACAAAGATACCGTATAAAACATGCAGAGCAGCAGGAAGACACACTCACTGTAAATATAGCTGTAGAGATATAGCAGGCCTTAGCATTAGCTTCAACACCTGTTGTTACTGTGAGGAACAGAAGGTGACTAAAGCATCAGGTATGAATAATGAGGGCCTGAACACTGTATGAGCACATTATGAAGCTAACATTAGCAGCACCATGAACTAGCTGGCTTCAGTAGCTAACTACAGCTACACAGTTAAAACTTCTTCACACACACACACACACACACACACACACACCTCCATGTTTACCTCCTTCAACTTATCCCACAAATAATCTCTATAAACACACATTATTAATGCACATCTGTAGAGCAGGGAGCAGATGGTTACTGTCTCTCCATGTTTTTATGGTCATACGAGCCAACAGAGACTAAACGCAGTGACTCCATATTTGGTCCAAACTGAGTTCACGTTTGCTTTACTTTAAAAACAGATCAGAGCAGAGAAGAGTTTCATTTCTGTGAAAAGTGTTTTTTAAATGTGTTGTGACTCAAACTGCAGTGACTGCACTCTGACTGTGTCATCTGTCATCTACCTGCCAGCTTCACATTCATTCAGCTAAATACACATCTGAAGCTACACACCTCAACTTTCATCAAGGCTAAGCTAGCTGCTCTCATAGCACAGTTAGCCTTAGCTACAGCTGCTACTAAAGCTGCTAGCTTAGCTGCTAACTGATCTCCCCCTGGCTGTTATCTGGAAATAGAAACTATATTCTTGATAAACTCACATCTTGTGTGTTCAGTCTGTTTTTCTACACGACTAAATGAAGCAGCAGCTAAATGTGATCATGATGAGAACAGTTCAACTGCTGTTAAAGATAACTAGCTTAGCATAGATCTCAGTGACCTTTGACTGGAGGGGAATTCATGTGATTTGGTGCTTAAACTACCTCTAAATCATAGATTTAAATATAATGATGTGTTGATTTATTCCATAGAAATATGACTCAGAGATACATTCAGACTGTAGATCAACAGTTTGTGGTTGTAGCAGCTTCTATATCACTGATGTTCACACAGTAAATGGACCTATTACAGCCTCTCTACCTGTTTGTCTCCATGGAAACTTAAAATGCTTTTTCCTGTGCTGTGACTGTAGTTACTGCTCTCTGCCTCTAGAGGGCAGTATAGCTCTGTACACCTCCAAACAAACCTGAGTGTAGTGAGGAGACAGACTCTTGGCTCAGCTCATAAAAGTCTCAGACAGGCCGAGTCACAAAGAACTGACCAATGAGAAACAAGTGAATCTTCATATGTGTGTATGAACTGCTGTGAATTTAGACTTCTTCTTCTTCTTCTGTGGTGACACAATGTGAAATAACTCCAGTTCATCATGAAGTGAACACAATACATCAGTGGAGTGTGCTGGAGGTGATATCAGCTTCCTGTTCACTGTGAGTCACATCTAACACTCTTACCTGTGCTGAGTTCAAGGCCTGCATGGATCGTCTGTAAAAAACAGAAACAACTGTTAGAAAATATCTGGTTCCTTCATAAAAACATGAGAACATAAAAAGTGAACATTACATGAATCCAGTCAATATATTTATATTTTGATACTGTATATCATTTATAAACTCACTACTGTTCATCCCTTCAGTTTACAGTTTTTAATCAATATTCTTTTCTTAACCTCAGTTTGAAGAGTAAACTTGCTCTGGACTACACTTCCCATGATTCTTAGGGTTTTGTGGACGTAAACATGAAGTGAAAAGTCTCCATGAAGTCGGTGAGTTAGCCGTGGGCGACACGTGAAGCTCTGTTTGTTATATTGGTTAACATTCAGTCCAATAGTGTCCATGAACAGTGAGCTGAATGAGCTGTTAGCAGCTCCTGTTCTCATGTTGTTCACACAAATATCACTGGATTACTTTGATCCTGAAGAAAACGTCCAAACATGAGGATTCTCAGGCAGCTTCTGCACTTATTATCAAAGCAGAGTTCAAGTGTCAGTCACAGCCAATCCAAATCTGTCTGTGTTCAAACCTGACGCAGGTATGACTGGACTAACAAAGGGACTACTACAGGTGATTTACAGTACCTGAGTGTCACTGCTGACAAACTAGAATAACTAACTAACTTCCTGCTTCCAACACCTGCACACACCTGTCCCTTTCAGCCCTCACGTCTCTGCTGCCAGCTCTCCTCACAGTGTGACAGCCTCTGTTATAGTCAACTACTGAGACTCAGTTATATAGAAGAGAATGAGTGATAAACTGAGAGATTTCACAAAGAGCAGCAGTTTAACACCTGGATGTACCTGCAGGATTCATGACGTCATCACTAGTTAGGAGCCAATCAGGGTGCAGTATGAAACTTACAGTGTGATAAAGCAACAAACACACAAACACTGAGACTTTACAGTGAAGTAGGAGACGTGTTGTGTCCAACAGTTCAACTTTACAAATGAAACATATTGAAATATTTAGTTTCCATATGAAGAGGTTCTGGGTTTTTACATGAGGTGTAAGGAGAGTCATTATAATCATTTAACTCAGTTTCTTATCTTTGTTTCAGTTAAAAACATGTCAGACACAAACTATTATTCAAAGTAGAGCATTTTAAATGATCTTTTATGAAATGATCCTCACTAATAATCAGTATTAGGTCGGTTTGTTTGACACCTCTCTGACTCAGGAGACTCCAGCTAGCATAAAGTCCAGTGAGCTCCGTTTCAGCTCATGGAGGAGAGAAAACTCGAGGTGTTTGTAAAAGTGAGTTTGAGACACTGTGGAGCTTTAGATAAATCACACATCACTTACCTGTGCAGTGAATAAAATCTCAAACTCCACATCAGAAGGTTTTCAGTCCCAAACCCCCTCCAGGATTAAACAACGGGCCGATTTTCTCCAGTAAATACACGGAGCCGGCGGGTGTTTCAGAGAGCCTGGGAGAGGGGAGCGTCCCCTGATTATACACATCAGCTCGATATTTTACAAACATATTGATTGATTGATTGATTGATTGATTAAATTTATTTCAGACATATCAAATAAAATCAAACAAAATGAAAAGCACGAAAATACAATAAACAAAAAACAATGTTCAAATTATTTCACAAAAAAAGAAAAAGAAAAAGAAAATTACATGTATTCAATTGATATGCCTGAAAAGGAGAAGGAAGAAGTATAAAACTTATTTAATCCTAGCCCTTTTCCACAGCTCAATAATTAATATTTATTAAATTAAATTCCTGTGTTCCTTATAAGTTATCTATATA